GCACGTGTTTTCAGACAGAAACTGAAGTCACTTATGGCTTTTATTGTAAAAAGTGAAATTTTTGGGTCTGTGCGCTGCTGGATGTACTCAGTGGAGTGGCAAAAGAGAGGATTGCCACATACACATATACTTATCAAATATATTAGACACGTAAGACATGTAAGCTTCATCTAAACATTTTTGTCATTTCACCATTCTGCACCACAGCAACGCGTGGCCGGGTACAGCTAGTACTGTCATATTTATTTGCTAGTTATCACATCATTATTGCTATTGTTGATCCAAAAAAGGCGTAGGCTGAAAACAGGACATCCCACTAATATTTTGAAATGAGAACGGGATATTCCATGCAGGTCACAGTTTATCCCCCACCCACCCCCCCCCCCTTTTTTTTTTTTTTAAATCTTCTCACCCCTATTGTTTTTCAAGATCACTGAGGTGAAATGGTTAAATACTCGCTCGAAAATTCTATTCAAACCCGGACCATTGTCGCTAAGAAATAAACGAACACAATATGCTCTTTAATAACAACAAAAAAGAAAGTGCTGCAATGAAAATTCCCATCGACACATTCTAGTCTTTAAATGTATTTATACCTTTGAAATTTAATTAGGTCTACAGACATAACCGTAAGTTTATGTTCTATTCTCGGGTAGATTTCTGGATTTTTATAATTATCGATGGAACAGGTGAGGCATCCCTGAAAACTAGACTGTGCCGGTGAAAACAGGAGGTACGGTCACCCTGCTAGGCGTGATTCTCTGTTTTTTTCCCCTAGACAGTCTGTAGAGAAGTGAGGCAAATTCCCGCCAATTCCCAAATGATTTCTTAGTGTCAGCGCGCTGATCTATAAACTGTAATACCTTTGCTGATTAGTTTAGTGGTGACGTCACCATTCTAGACAAATCCTTTTGGGAGAATTGTAACAAATACTCACCGGTTGAGTCCTTATCTCCGAAAGTGTCGCTAAATCGGTCTGAATAGGGATTGCCTCCGGATGACTTCAAGTTTTTTCCTTTCTTGTTATTATTTTTGCCTTGTCGAAGCTCGCATGGATAATAAAATCCTAGCTGTTCAAACTGCTTTTGAAAAACTGTGTTGGCTTTTTATTTTGATTGCTACACAGTTAATAACTTGAAGCGCTGAGTTTGACGTGGTTTTTAAAACTACTACTACTACTACTACTGCTGCTGCTACTACTACTACTACACAAATTGAAACTTACACCAAATATTATATAGATTACAAGATTTGAGAGTAGAAACAAAACTATATTATTAGAAGTCAGAATTAGATAGAAAGCAGAGCAGACAATACACAATATACACATTGAAAGCTGAACTCAACACAGGGGATAAAACCAGCAACATCGCATTTAGCTCAGCCCTTCTTCAACGTTACACATTGTTGGATACACTACCACCCATGACAGACTGGCAGGCAGACAAACAGACAGATAGGGAGGACAGTAGTTTGTCAGGCAAAGAGTGAAGAGTTCATATAACATACATTTACTGAATAATGTTAGGATATTATTGAGGGAATGATTATGCGAAAGAAACGAAAGAGTAAAGTGTTGCAAGGTTCACGAAAACTAATCATTGTTTGCAGTGAGGCCAAGGCACGCAGCAACTGTGTTTGGAGAGTTGATGGAATTGTACTAGATGGAACCTTCTGAGACATCAGAATCTTACCCTGATTCAACCATTTGTAAACTATGAATAAGTGCTTCTCAGAGCCAGGTCTCAAAGTTGCATTTTGGCATTTTCGTTACATTTACCTGCGGCTAAAAATAATTATTTTAATTAGATTCTCAGTAGAAATTTACTTTTCTAGCAAGTTTATCTGGCTGATAGGCTGGCTGGATCCGCTATGACTACCGACGGTCAGCCTATGGATCATGCTGATATTATTAATGCCCCCAGAGAAATGGGAAGGATGGAGGACTTTGGGAACAGTGAATCCACATCACTCGCCAGAATGGCAAGCTTGGGAATTAAGATCGGCATAGCAAAAAAACATGAGACGCACACCAGACACACCAGAAGACGTGTTAATCATCATAGAACTGGTACTATTAGCCATCGGACGTTGGGGTTCATACTGAGGGGATGATCTGAGCACCTATGGACATGTACGGAGTGATGATAACCCAACTAACTAACTAATTATCTCGTTTAGTTTTCATGTGAATTACAAATGTGCCTAGTCGTGCCCACCTTAAAACAATAAACAACGGAAGCAATGAACTTAACACCTAGGGGGGTCAGCCTTATCCAACATCCCCCTTCCCCATTTTCTTAATGATCTTAAATGATTGTATACTATCATTAGCTAAAAGAGGTTTAACTGGCATTAGAAGTGTCAGTGTGAACACAGACAAATTACATTAAAGATAGATTTTTTCATACTGCACAATAACCTTTAAATTGATAATGATATTCATTAGTTTTAAGTATTTCAGCCAAGCTTTGATGATCTGTCACGGCTTAGTGATCAT